GAAGGTGCTATTTAAGAGACTGAGCTGAAAACAGCACCTCAGACTGAGGAAGTCTCTTGGATGAGAGACGAAACGTTTCTAGATTTTTTTGCTTTGTTTTGTTTTTTGTTTTTTTGAATGTCCAGAGGACCAGATTGAACTTTTTTGGATTTCTCTACCTGGATTATTGAGCATGCATCAGGATATCTTGTCCTTTAAGTTGTGTTTATCCTTTCTGCAGCTGCTAATGGGCAGAAACCTGGCCTTCAGCATGATTAAAACGTACGTTGCGCATGCATCCTGCGCGTGCATCCTGCACATCCTGAGCATGCATCAGGATAGGTACGCTGCAGCCATTTCCTCCTGTCTCGAGGGTTTTAATGATAGAACAGTTTTTAGTCAACCTCTGTCGAAACATTTTTTTAAAGGGTGTGCACAGGCAAAGACCTGGTTCGCGTACAGTCCTCCCACAATGGAATTTAGCGCTTGTGCTCGGCACACTGGCTAAGATCCATTCGAGCTTCTGGATCAGGTGTCTCTGAAACTCTTATTTTTCAAACAGCTCTGCTGTTAGCTCTGATTTTAACAGAGGGTAAGTGACCTCTCATCCCTGTCGGTCGCCCCCTCCTGTCTTAGAATTCAGGGCAATGAGAGCTCAACTGTGCTGCGCCCAACCCTGCTTTTATTCCTAAAAGCATAAACAGTTCCTTCGTACTCAGAATTTTAATGTTGGATAGGTTTAATACACCTCCACACAATTCTGAAGAAGTGGTTCAATCTCACTTAAATTCCGTCAGTACTCTGAGTATTCAGTTCTCAACTGTGTTAAGGAACATGTGTCTGTTATGGCATTTATTAGGTGCTTGAGTTAAATGCATGTAATCACGACAGAGGAATTAGTCAAATCATATTTTAACTGGTTTTTCTGGTTATGCGCTCTTGGGTTTGGACAGATCCAGTGAGGCTTGGACTAGATCCGACCTTGCCTTTAACCCACAAGTGGGCTTGGCTTAAAGGGCAAGCCCCACAATGAAATACAACATAGGTTACGTATAGTAACCACATATTCTATGAATTGTGGGTGAAGCCCTTTAAGCACTGGGCCTTGCTGGCTCCCAAGTGGCTGAATAAAAGCTAGCTATTTGGGAGTAGAACGACAGGTCCGTAGCCTATTTTTACGGATGGAGGTGGACCCCACACAGTGGGTGGGCATGGATTAGAGTTTTTTCAGTGTTGGTGCATTACATGCGGAGTTACACCCCCAAGTGGGCATGGCTTAAAGGGCTTCACCCACATTTCATAGAATCTGTGGTTACAATACGTAACCTATGGTTCGGCTGATCAAAAACTAAATAGCCTATAGTATTTTATGGTCTCATTTTTATAGCTGCAAGTTGTTTATCAAATCAAGTTTGTTGTTCCATCCATTCGGGGATTCCTTTAAAGCCAAACATAAGACAATCTTTTACATAAGCTTATCGTCTGTGGCTTGTGATCTCGTCCCAAACGTTCTCTAAGCATGTAGCATCTGTCGCTTCAGTCTGTGTTTTAGGAGACAGATAGGTGTTTCTTTGTAAGTTGTAATCTGTTGTGTAACTTGTTTTTTCTTGCAGGACGTGGTCTTGGCTTATGGCTTCACTGTCGGCAAATCTCCCACAGCTAAAAAGGACAAGCTTCATCCCTGTAACCTGATCTTGTCAGGAGACAACGCAGGCATCTATGTGAGCACTTCTATCAGTCTGTTTTATTTTTATAGCTGTGATTATTATTATTTATTTTTTTATTTTTAACATATCTACACTAAATGCTTCACAGCTAATTGTGACCACAGGTGTTTTGCTCCTCTTCTCTGAACTCCAGGATGTCAGTTTCATTACCTGTTTGTGCATCGAAGAAAACTAGATCTGCAGGTTGTTAACAGTTTGTAAGAGCGTGAACATTTCTGTGTAAGCTATAAATTGAACATAAAGCGTCATCAGTCTGAGCTGCTGACAGACAGACTGACAGGAAAACAACTAGACTTGGTGACAAATCTCTGTCTGCTCATTCTGTTGTCTGCAGCTTCAGTAACCAGAAATAAAAAAATACTTTTTATTCGCCTGTTGCTGAGTGAAGCAGGGGAACTGGAAATATCCTCCGTCAGAATCTCCATATAGTCCATCCGTGTTATATGATACCATGAACAATAAGTGAGGTACCAACTTTAATTTTGGTGTGTGGCTGCATCTAGGCGTAAGAAAGATTCCTTTTGAAAACTGCGTTGCCACGTTAAAAGATAATCATGACCATATATGTATGTAATGCCCCTTTTCCATAATACCTTTTAGTACCGATACAGCACGGTTCGATTCGGCTCAGTATGGTATACACGTGTTTCCATTATGCTTTCAGTACCGGTTCCATTGGGCGGGGTTCAAATTGACGTCATGTGCCTTACCAGCTTGTGGCGGTAAGACCTTGAAACAGTCAGGTCATCTGGACAGTTTCTTTTTTTTTTGTGCTGAAACGTTTCGCCTTCGGTCTGGAAGGCTTCATCAGTCAAGGAAACACACAACAAAACTGATTCTTCCCCCAACAGCTTACTCCAAAGTGGAACAAACCAGTTCTGCTTGTGATAAGATGGTCTCTTTGGTACACCCCCTCCTCCATTGCTGGCCCTCTTCCTTGTCGACAGTCTTGTCAAACTGGTTGAAAACAATAACTGAAAGGGTTTTCTTCTCGTAACACCTTTATAAAAAATCCACACAAGACGAAGTATGAGTTTTCAGAACGGCCTTTTGCACAAGTGGGAGTTCAGCTCGACCAAGCGTCAGAGAAGAAGTCCGACTTCCTGCTCTGTGACGTTCGTATTTATTGAGCGAAGTGGGTGTGGGAACAAGACCGCTAACTCAGCTTCTCTGACACAGCAGAGACACAAATATTATACAAATATGATGAAGAAAAACACAACAGAGACAGATTCGATACAGAGGCAGGATGTGCAAGGTTAGAACTAAACAGCATCTGTTGTTTTGTAGATATCCAGGGTCTGGTCTTAGCACACACATGAGCTGCAAACAGGAACTCTGGGTGTTTGGTGTTTCAGCACGTAGGAAAACTGAAGTGGGCTTGAGTTCACACGACTGAAGTTTTAGCAAATAGTAAGAAGTCTAAAACAGTTTAAATGGTAACATTTTTAAAATTACCCAACAACAACTGTCCAGATGACCTGACTGAAAAATGTTGGATTGTATACCTGGATTATTGAGCATGGACTTTGTTGTTACCTTGAAACAGGTTTTAGTACAGTGTGAAAATTTATTTAGAAGTTTCTGGTAAATTAAAAAAAGAATACAGATTATTAAAATGATCATATATATATATATATATATATATATATATATATATATATATATATATATATATATATATAAATAAATCCTGCTAATAAACTTTTAATGAACTTAAGTTCATTGTATCTCAGATGCACCAGATTCTACAAAAACATCCACATTTAAAATAAAAATAAAATTTTACCTTTTCTTCATTTGATGTATTTGCACTCATTGTTTACTTTTATTCTTCACTTTAGATATGTGGTGTTGTTTCTTGTTCACATACATTTTTTATTTTTAGCTTTGCTTTAAAGTTTAATTCTTGTTTTGTGATTTGTACATCCGTGGGTTAGAATAAAGTTGAACTAAAGGCATCTCTTCTTCGTCGTCGTCGTCGTCATTATTGATATAGTGCTTTAAACACCTGCCACAGCTGAAACAAAGTGCTGAACATCAGTAATAAATAAGATAAAAGAAGGCACAAAAATAAAGTTACAAAGCTAAGCACACAATAGTGAATTTAAAAGCTCAATTTAAAACGCAATAAAACGACAAGTTAAACAGATAAAATCAGTACCAATAAAAAATAAATAATATCAATTCTCAGTTGGGTTGAAGGTCATTGAGTAGAAATGAGTTTTCAGTATGGTTTTACAAATGGACAGTGAAGAGGCCTGTCGAATGTGCAAAGGCAGAGCGTTCCATAACTTAGGGGTGCTAACAGAGAAGGCCCTGTCTCCTCGAAGCTTCCTCTTACTCTTGGGAATGACCAGAAGCAGCTGGTCAGCAGACCTGAGTGACCGAGTGGGAGTGCATGTGTGGAGAAGCTCTGTTAAATAAGGGGGGGCAAGGCTGTTTAAAACCTTAAAAACAAACAAAATAATTTTAAAATTAACTCTAAAAGACACGGGCAGCCAGTGGAGAGATGCCAGGACAAGGTGATGTGCTCTTTTTTACATGTTCCTGTTAAAGGACGTGCAGCAGCATTTTGCGTCAGCTGCAGACATGTAAGTGAGGACTGGCTGACTTTAAGATTTAGTGAATTACAGTAACCTAGCCATGATGAAATGAAAGCATGGATTACTGTTTCAAACTGTTGCCTTGAAATAATAGATTTTACCTTTGCCAATTTTCTCAAATGATAAAAACCAGACTTGACTGTGGCCCTTATTTGACTGAGTTTAAAATCACTGTCCATCTTAAAACCAAGGTTTGTAACTGTAACTGCAAGCGGCTGCTGGCTGAGCAGACAGGCAGAAAAAGAACTACTGTCCACACACTTTCAAGTCTTACAGTGAGAGGAGGTAGCGTCACATTAATCAACCATCATCTTATCATATCACTAAAGATACAGTTGTTAGCGGCTAACAGCCGTCTTGTTAGCTGCTAAGGATTGCGTCTTCAGCGATATAAGACGCTGTTTTATTTACGTCACCTCTCATAATGCACAGCACAGGTAAGATTCGTACCGTAGTTTGTCTCAGGGAAGGAAACTTCACATCCCGAGCTGCAGCAGCAAGTTTAACACGCTTCATACTCCACTTATAGTGCTGCTTTAAATGGTGAAAAAGATTTGTTGTGCTCGAACATTTTCGTCGGGACTTATTTTCTGAATTTTTCTGTTGCACATCTGACAAATTAAATCCGAACCATCTCCAAATAACAGAGCCATTATTTTTTTTCCCCTGCTCAACAGTTCTGTGACTTGCGCTCTCTCCATTCTGTGGCTGCTATGTGCCGCAGGGCAGCCGCTTCACCTGGTGAGAAGCAGGAAGCAGGGGGAGAGCACGCGGTAGGGGCTGAGTTTGCAGTGAGTGAGAGGAGGGGGGCCATGTGGGAGAAGAAAGAATAGCAGAACCGGTGGATTTTCAAGTAGAACTGTTATCGTTTATATCGAAATAATGTCAATTTATATTGCAAATAAAATTATATAGATATTTTAAAAATATTGAGATATCGCCCAGCCCTACTGTTGACTTTACGTACATTATCAGGAGGTCTAAGTCAACTGGAGGGCTTGAACAAGCTCCACTAGGTTCAAAAACAAGTACCTCTATTTTTTTCATTAAAATGCAGGAAGTTTATGGCCATCCAAGCTTTTAAGATCCTCGAGACACAATAAAAGAGTTTTAATGGACCAAGCATCAACTTAAAGGCACATAGATTTGGCAATCATCAGCGTAGCAATGAAAGGAGATACCGTGCTTTCTAAATATCGATCCTAGACAAAGTAGATATAAAAAAAGGGTCAAATGCCCTAAAATTGATCCCTGAGGAACCCCACATGACAGAGGAGCAGAAAAGGATTCATACCCAGCAATTTTTATAGAAAATGTTCCGTCTGCCAGATAGGACCCCAACCACTCCAGAGCAGTCCCACTGATGCATACTTGGTGCTGTAGACATGACAATAAAATTCATTCATTCAACCTTTATTTAGACAGGTAAAGCCCATTGAGCCTCGAGGACTCATTTACAAGAGAGACCTGATTTCAACAAAGAATGATGACAACAATGGACAACAGCAACAACAATAAACAATTATAAAAAGTCATACTGCAGTGTTTTTTTTTGTTGTTTTTTTTCTTACAAATAGGATGGCTAAAAGGAAAAGGTACCAAAAAAAACCCAGCTAGATTCTAAGGCGAATGTAGAAAACTAAAAACAGGAACATGTCTGCATTGGTCCCTGCCAGGAGTCCAACAGAATCTTAAAGCCAATTAGAGAGGTCAAGGTCGAGAGCTTCAAATCTTTTTGTAAGATATTCCAGGAAACAGGAACAGAGTAGGAGAAGGTCCTTTTGCCTAGTTCAGTCCTCATTGAGGGAACTTTGCAGGTAAAATGCTGTGGTCCACTGTGTCAAAAGCAGCAGTTAAGTAAGTTCATCCAAACCATCCACATGTCTGCTAGATTCCATCCCAACCAGACTGTTTAAAGAGGTATTTCCCCTAAATAATGTCCACATTCTGGATCTGCTTAATTTGTCTTTAATGAATCTTCCTAACAAACAGACCACAGTCAGTGAGGATCCACAACTTCTCCTCCTCCACCATAACCCTGAGCACTGGCTCTCCTCAGGGATGTGTGTTGAGCCCCCTCCTGTTTACTCTGCTCACGTATGATTGTGCAGCTACCCATCCAGGCTGTCACATTGTAAAGTTTGCAGATAATACAGCGGTGGTGGTATGCATCATAAACAATGATGAGTCCAGCTACAGGCAGGAGGTGGAACACCTGGAGAGCTGGTGCAAAGAGAACAACCTTCACATCAATAGCTATGTTTACATGCGCAGAATTCTCTGACCGGATTGAAATGTGTTCTGTTTGAATAATTCAAATGTGTTGTTTACACTGGCTCAATCTGTTCATGATGAGCGTTTACATGCAGCGGGCTTTGTTCTGAACAG